ATGCGGGACTCGATCCCAGGACCCTGAGATCATGACCTGAGCCGAAGGCAGACGCTTAACCATCTGAGCCACCCAGGCGCCCAAATTACAGAATTTTCAATTACAACAGGTAGAAAGTAAAGGAAAACAAATTGCAGTATATTTCCTTATAAGAGCTTCAGCCATTAGCATTGCTGTTATGAGTAAATCAGGAGAATCAATTTTAAAGCTGAGGCTGCCACAAGTTTGTGCCCAGCAACGGCTTTGTACACAACCTACAATCTAATTAACTTGGAAATAAATTATCCAATCTAAATTGCCTTTAGTTCTTTCTATAAACAGCCCAATAAATTTCCTAACTTCCTTCCTGCTATAAAAATGTCCCTTCCTTTGGACAACTTGAATAGCATAGCACAGATAACCTGTGATTTTAGAATCATTACAGAAAAAAGTTAGGATGGTGCCACCTACAATTAATGTTGTACTTGATTTTTAATAGCATCATAATTTAACTTTATATTAATGAGGCAATTTTTTCAATGGTTGAAACATCCTCAAATGAAAAAAAGAATAATTTATTAAAATGCTGAGACGCTAGATGGATATTTTTCCCAAAAGGAAGATCAGCTAAGCTCTCTTCTTGTCCCTGAGCCCCAAAGAGTTAAAATTCAAGACCTACATTAGTTTCACATTATAGTTGATGAAAACGTCTGCAGTGGTTGAGGTCACTGAGCCTCTACCATATTCTAGGCACAATGACGATCAGGGAAATGAAGAAAATGTGATCTTTGACTTCAAGAAGATAAGACAAGTAGACAGAAAAGTATAATAATTATCAGAAGTATCAAACATCCCAAGGGGATGCTTCACAGAGAAGAGGGGTTGCAATCATTGGCAGATTTACAAAAGGATGTGACTGTGCTGGCATTAAGGAGGATGGACTTCCCCACGCTGACATGGCGGGGAAGGACATTCCTTGTAGAAGGAACAGAATGCCAGCAGGAGGGGCGCCCTGAGTCAGACAGAATAGTGGACAATGCTGAATTTACCTGCAGTGTGGTACAGCACCGCAACTCACAAATATTCTAATAAATGTAAAAGCCTTACTAACTCAGAAAGGGCTGCAAATTCCCATCCTCTCCTACTTGCCTTTCAGTGAGGCTAGGGACAGAAAGTCAGCATGATATCTGACTGGAAGGCACAGAGCCTACAGGTTCAAACTGTCAACAGAAAGAATTACAGAAAGCATATGTTGACAACTTGTCCACCCATCAATCATACCAAGCAAATATTTACTGAGTACCTACTATTTTGCAGGGGAATGCACTGCAGTTTCAGTTTTATAAGATGAAAAAATTCTGGAGATTGATTAAACAATAATGTAATATAGTTCATGCTATTGAAATGTACACTTAAAAATGATTTAAAATGGTAAATTTTATGTCATGTGTATTTTTTCACAAATAAAAAGAAGATATATTTAAATAATGAATGTTTATATCTAATTACAAATTTCCCCAAATCTGGTATACCTGCCTCTTAGAGCTGAGTAAGGTTAGGATGTAAATCTCTAATGTGTTATCACCCCTGTCAATCCTCAACTCACTGGCAGACCCATCTCCACTACACCCGACTGAGAATTTTGTCCTCCATGACAGCTGATCCAGACCAGAAGTGAACTGGTCTAAAGATCTCTGGGAAATAAAAACAAACAGGAAAGGGCTACCTGTGCATCTTTCCTAAATATCTTTAAGCTTTTTTACCTACTGTTTAATAATTTGGTTCAGATGTAAAAGTACACTGTTGGCATAAAAAAACATAAAATCAGAGCAAATAAATGAAGATTCAGCACACACTTCTGTAAGTTTCTAACTTCTACTTGGGACTGATGATAAACACCAGCTCACTCTGCTTACTCACTGTCCACTCTTTTGAGTGGGGAATGTAATAAAGTATGCTGGTTAAAGGCAAAAACTTGTTCCTCTCTTATTTTTTCTGGTTTATACTCCACAATTTAAGGTCAATGAGAGATTAAAATCTGTTGAAGATAATTACAGTAAGCATACCCAAGTCTCGGTATTTCACAGCGCTTGGGGAGCATACTAACACAGTGAAGGTCTGACACACATCCTTACTTGTACAAGCGTGTCCAGAGTAAAGATGTGCTCCCCGCGGACATTGTAGAACTTGACCATGGCACTCTTCAGAAGAGGGCCGTTGGGGAGGTCACCAAGCTGGGTCTGCCGTTCCATACCAGCGACAGCCAGGAGGTCTCCCTGGGTGCACCACTGGGCCACCACCTCTGAAATCACAAAGAAGACGGTCAGCACGACGACATGATCCTCCCTGAACTTACACTGTTTAGAAAACAGCTGCTGAGCAAATATAAGGTGGCTCTTCCCCTTTTTCTCACGAAGACCACAGCTACCCATTTCTCTGACGACGATACAGACTCTATTTAAACAGAAGTCTATTACCTGGATGGGGACTGCAGATCCCCTGAAACACAACTCTACCAGGTAAAAGCACATATGCTGAAGCCGGCCTGTTAAATATCTAACTCCAAAATCAGCAAGACTCTGAGAGCACAGGTTAGATGACCAGACCTAGGACTGTCCATCTACTGCTTGTGCCCCCATGCCCAGCGACGACTCCAGGAGTTTACAGATGCAAAAAGTAGGTCAAGAGCAAAGTCGAGGTTTACATTCATTTGATTTCTGTGCACTATTGGGCAGATAAAGTTCAGATAAAGGACATATCTGCATATGACGCCCCTGACTTTTATTCCACATTGGGATGTTGTGGGGGCTTAGAAAAGAAGATAAACACTTCTGGTGGATGGGAGTGTTTTCGGAAATTTTCACCCTAGAGATGTGACGCCCACCTACAAACCATTCCATACGTGTAAGAAATGGCTATGAAATGGTTTGTCTAATCCCAGCGTGAGCAGTTTACTTATTCTGGCTGGTCAAACAAGCTACTCGTACTAGTAAGATCTACAGCATAGCTCTTTCCCATTAAGACCGAGAGCCCTATCTGGCTCATCCAGAGATTGTTGAAATCCACAACTCAGAGGCCTCTCTGAGCAAGGCTGGCTGGAGCCTGAAGGTCCTCGGTCACGACAGGATGCATGTCAGAGCCAGGTCTAGAAGCCAGCAGCACCTGGGCCTCAGCAGGTCACACGCGACCACCGCCGCTTTCCCTTCGTCATGGGCAGTGCTGATTCTGACGTAAAGAACAGCGTGTTCCGGGGCGCCTGGGTGGCCCAGTCATTAAGCATCTGCCTTCGGCTCAGGTCAGGATCCCAGGGTTCTGGGATCAAGCCCCACATCAGGCTCCCTGCTCGGCGGGAAGCCTGCTTCTCCCTCTCCCACTCCCCCTGCTTGTGTTCCCTCTCTGTCAAATAAATAAATAAAATCTTAAAAAAAAAAAAACAAAAACCAGTGCGTTCTGAGGTCACCAGTGCTCCCTGACTTCCTCAGAAGACCCAACAGTGGTCCTTGGCACAAGACGGCTCTCTGGACCTGGGAAGAGAGAGCTTGAGCATCAAGTGAGCCACCAACAGGAGCCAGAGACGGAGGGAGCAGAGGGCTGAGTGAAGGCAGTTACAGATAACCCCGAAGTGAAAAAAACTCTACACTAGGATAAGGAAGCAAGGATACAGAAACCTAGACGTGGTCAGGACAGAACCTTTCCTGTCCTAGAAAGTTCTCGTAAGCTATGCCCATCTTATGTTAGACTAGAAAATAATCCCCAATACTTTTGCCCAATCTTTTAGTAATAATTTTATAATTTTTAAACCTTTAAAAATTTTTTTTAAAACATAAGGCAGGGAAAGATGGGGCGCCTGGGTGGCTCAGTCGGTTAAAGCGCATGCCTTTGGTTTGGGTCATGATCCTGGGATCGAGCCCAGCGTCAGGCTCCCTGCTCAGCAGGGAGTCTGCTTCTCCCTCTGCCTGCCACCCCCCCTCTTCTTGTGCTCTCTTTCTCTGTCAAATAAATAAATAAATCTTTAAAAATAAAATATAAGCCAGAAAGAACGAACTAACGCTTTACTTAGTAATCCTTTTTTCACTTTTCCTGAAGTTCTTAGCACAGAGTCAGTCTCTAGGGATGAAGGGAGTTCCAAGACACAAAAGAAGCCCATCCTCCTGAAGTACCAATTTTTCTTGGTGATTTTTTTTTTTTTTTTTCTTGGTGATTTTTTTTTTAAGGTAATCTCTACACTCAACATGGGGCTCAAACTCACAACCCCGAGATTAAGAGTCTCATGCTTTACCGGCTGAGCCAGCCAGGCACCCCTTCCTTGATGATTTTGAGGTGTTTGTGGAGTTTTGGTCTCTTAAACATCATACACACAGAAAAAATTAACATAGTACCACTATTCTACTTTATCCAGACAATCTTATGGATCTTTTTTGGTAAAAGCCTGGAGGGTCAAAATTTTACATGTATTAAGCAATGAGAAAATTCAGTGCTTTTGTGTTAACAAGAGCCACTCATGTGGTATTAGCGCTGGGTCGAAAAGAGGCAGCCAAGTATTAGTGGAGAAAGAACAGTGCTCTTACCAAACACCACAAGTACTCAAGCTGCTGGCTAGAAGTCTGAGATTCACAGGGGCCTCTGTCCCTTGGATGTCCATGTTGATGATTTGCCTTTTTACTAATCCTTAGATACATGTGTACTTGCATTTGTGTACATGGATTGTGTGTTGAGAGGGAGAAAGTGAGTACATGCACAAAGTAGGAAACTGTGTGATGGTAAAATGACACGTACATTTTTTTCTTTAATAACAGTGCTTCTGGTGAACATACTAAGGACCGAACATCAGCATGTACTCAGTGAGGATGATGGGTACAACCTCTACCAGCCTGAACTACAGGAGTAGACAGGACCACTGACCCAAACCACTCTACCTCAAAATCAGAACCACCTCTTGACTTTCTCAGTGTGTTCTATGAAGTGACAAAAAGAGGAAATTCTGTAAAACAAAGAAACAAAGCCTAGAGGTTTAAATTCTTTGATTTTTAAGACAAATGTGAGGTGAAATGAGCAGTGCCTTTGAGAGCTTGCTTTACTACAAGAGAGGAACTGGTTAGATCAGAGAATTTCTGAGCTCATCACTGAACTGTTTTTCCTTGAAGGGTAGCAGAATATGCCACTTTGAAATACGCCACACTGGCATAAAAACTAGTTTGAGCTAAAGGCAATTGAGAAGCAACAGATACAAAAAAAAACCTCTCCCCCTCCTCCCTATTTGCCAAAAAGCAGGATGTAAATTTGGGAAGGCTGCACTCCCCCACCACACCCTCTCACCAGGAAGGACAGAAGTTAATCACTGGAGACATCTCTAGACCCTTATCAGCCCACAGACAGCACCAGGAGAATCTATATGATAAACTTCAGGAAGGAGCCCTATCTTCCATTAGACGCCCATATGTTTACCTTCCCACAATCTGCTGCCCTAGAAACTTCAAGTCCTTTCCCTTTGTCTTGTCACTTCTCCAAAAACATATTATTCTTTTGTAAACATGCTATATGAGCCCAAGTTCTACCCACCCCTTTGAGTTACTTCCACAGGTAAATGCAATGCACACGTTAAATACTTTTTCTCTCATCAATCTGTCTTTTGTCAGTCTAACTTATAGGGCCCCAGTCAGAGAACCTAAGATTTCTAGAGGAAAAAGTCTTTCCTCCCCTACATTGTCAAGGAAGAGTATCGTAACAACAAAGGGTAAAAACCCCAAATAAGGTAAACTAATTTATGGTTCACCATGTGATAAACATAAGTCCCCAAAGTTGGGATACCCTGCATACTTTTCCTCAAGGCAGAATTTCCTCAGCAAACATCTGCAAAGCAAAATTACCCACCACCCTATGAATCTGCAATGAAAATGAAGTTTGATAGTTGTGGAGAAGAGGCTGGTCATGGGGACTACGAGCTCTTTGCCATTCTATGTTCTTTTGCAATGACACAAATTACAGTGATGGTGATAAATTAGAAAATATCATGAGTCATGTTAATTCACTGGAAAAGTTCTCTGATATTTCTTTTGAAACAGTAACAAAGATGAGACCCTTTCAGTCCACCTTATGTGATAAGCAACTGACCTGTCTATAGTAGGATAGATTCCTGTGGATGGAGAAAGTTGCCACATGCCATCTTGGCAGCATTCTGGCTACCTCTTCCCACTATTTATTAACATACCCCATAAAGTAGTGAACAAAAAAAGCAAATGAATTAAAAAAAAAAAACAACTGGTGTTGATACTACAAGACCAAGTCCTCATAATATTCTGAAGCCAAGACAGAAGAGAGAAACTGCCTATATCCAGCACCTAACAGATGACACTGACTCACTTAAATTTCATCTAACTTCTTACAATTGAGAACAGTCTGTGCAAAAGCATGTCCGCCCATGAACGTGTAAGGTTGAAAACACTTCCATATCAGATTTAGATTTCTAGTCAGGCAATGAAAAGAATGCTAAATGTGACCATATTTTTAGGATAAAACTCAAGTCAAAAACTTGCACATTTGGGAGGGCCACCCTGGGTTACCTTCATAAGTCACCTTACATGTGTTCCTAACCTTCCAGCACACACCTGGTGGGGATGTGTTGGAAGTACTACTCCAATACAATTTAGTTTGAAAGAGAGAAAACAAACTAATGTCCAAGAAAGAAAAAAAACAGTTTCCACAGGTAAGCAAGATGGCAAAGAATTAGAAAAATTTGCTATATAAAGAACACAGTGGAACTGAGTGGTAAGTATGCTATTTTCAGTCCTGATCAGATACTCAGTAAGGAACAAAGTTCAGGACTCCAGACTAGAGGCAAGTTCTGATGAAATTAATCAACTTGGTTAAAAGTTTAAAAATAGTTTCTTTTTTTTTAAATGATTTTATTTATTTATTTGAGAGAGAGCATAAGTGGGGGGGAGGGGCAGAGGGAGAGGGTGAAGCAGACTCCCTGCTGAGCAGGGAGCCCAATGTGGGGCTGGATCCCAGGACCCCGAGATCATTCCCTGAGCCGAAGGCAGACACTTAACTGACTGAGCCACCCAGGTGCCCCTGAAAATAGAATTTCTGAAGAAGAAAAGAAGAGCTTGGATTACTAAATATATGTGAGAATTTATGATGACCATCCCTGCGTTTTAGCTCCACAAAGGTCAGAACTTTCAGAAAAGAACACAGAAAAGCCCAAGGAATTTAAGTTTATCATCATCACACACAAAAAATACTTAGCTTCTAAAGGAGCCCATTTGTGGTATAAAGAGGGACTTCTACATAGTTCATGTCCCTCAGGAGTTTATAGGCTAAATAATTCCTTACAATTATAGTTTTGAAACAGCAAAATGGGACACCCAAAAAAGGTAGCAGAACTTCTAAAAATATTCTATAGTTTTGGGGTGCGTGGGTGGCTCAGTCAGTTAAGCATCTGCCTTTAGCGCAGGTCATGATCCCAGGGTCCTGGGACTGAGCCCCACATCTGGCTCCCTGCTCAGTGGAGGGTCTGCCTCTCCCTCTGCCCCTCCCCCCCAGCTCATACTCTCTCTCTCTCTCTCGAATAAATAAAATCTTTAAAAAAAATTCTATAGTTTTAAAATAGAATTATTAAGTGCTTGGGGGTGTGCAGGCAGGTATGATGCATTCCAGGCAATCAACAGTTAAGTATATGGACTTGAGTCTCCCTATCCCTGTGATTCCTGAATAATTCAGACAAGAAGCACATGACAGGACTCTCTGGTCTGAGGGCCAGTTCCGAATGAAAGCAGCAAGTTGAACTGCAGGTTCTGATTTGCCCTTGATCTCCCATTCAGATTAGAGTAGGTCCCTTTAACTTGAGACCAGAGGCAGTCCAGAAATTTCTACATTGCACCATTTAATCCTGAAGAGACAGAACCGTTTTTCCAAAGAACTCATCACGGTCACAACGTGAATATTCTCAAACTGCAAAATTTGGAACACACCAAATGCCCACGGACAGCGATTTTCTTGTGAGATAACAGATTTCATAACATCTGTCAGGAAAAGTGTCAGCACTTGGCGGCTGATGTTTACATCAGTGCCTCAGTCTGGCAACTGTGGAACCTCCACAGTCTGCTGCTGAGGTAACTTTACCACGCAACCATCAGTTCCTTAATAAGCCTCAAGATAACGGGGGCCTCTGTGAAGCTGTGCCGTGAACGGTCTGCTGCCTCAGGAACAGCAGGTGCTGAGGTCCGATACTGTCCAGACATAATGTCAGCCAGAGGCAAACACCACACACCTGAGAAAGATCACTCTTGTCATAGCAGGAAAAGAACAGAAAGATGAAGACCTTCAGGAGTCCCTCCTCACGATAAGCCTGGGTATCGACTTGTCAGATAAGCAGAGGAGCGAAAGGAAATGGCCTTCATTAATAGACTCCATTAAGCCTGGAAGAGGTCACTGCAGAGGGATGGGAACGGATAAGGACTGGGCGTAGGACACCCACTGGAAGGCAAACACACACAGGGCTGATGTGTGGGCCTGGGGTCCCGTGCAGCCTTCTGTACCTTTCAGCCCTGAGCGGATGACAGTAGGAGACAAGTCATCGTAGTTGTTCATTAAGCTGATGTCCCCCGAGGTGAAGCTGACGGTGAGTAGTGGCTTGATGTTCTGCACCGGGATGGGATACGCTGCTGGACCGTCTGCTGGGACAAAAGTGCTGAGTGAAAAGGAGGCAATGCACACATGACCCCAATCCAGGGCGCACTGCTGCAGTCTTGCAGACGGCCTGAAAAACTGCCTGACACTGTAGATCAGACTCTGGGCTGGGATGTTACCAATTACGGCCGGGTTCTATACCACTCAGAACCTACACAAGGTTGGTTACCAGAGAGATGCTTACCAGAGAACTCTGGAATCAAAGAAAGACGGGGACAGCTAACCCTGGAGGCACCAAGTGGGGTCCCTTGGGCTCCGTCGTATGGTGGTGAGAATATGTGTGAAAAGATTATTAACTTGTGTGTTAATGTGTCATGTTTCTAATGATGTGTAAACATCAATTATTTTAACGTCATATAATGTGTAAGGATGGTGGAAAGAGGGATGGAAACGATTTCTGAATCCTGGCCCAATGCACAGAGAAAAGTCGCTTTTCAAAGCTAATGCTCCTTCATTGAACATTATAAGAAACGAGGAGCCACAGCTGCCACGCTGAGCTCTTTGTCAAGTTTTTACCATAACAGACCCCAAATATGGAGAAAGGCCAAGGCTGGATGTGGCTCATAAAGAATTCTGCTACATCTGCAGTGCATAGCCAGTATAAAGAAAATTCTGCTTTCTAAGTTCAAGGAGTACTCATGGATGCTAAGGAAAAGCTGTGATGTGATGGGTCATGTTCTGGACTCTTCCACATGTTGTTTCAAAAGTAAAAGTCAGTCCCTCTCAAAGGCCAGGATAAATCAGGGTCCTTTCAGAAGAACCCTGGAGGCCTCACACCCATGCTGAGTTCATCCCTGGCAGCCATCCAGGCTGGGCCGGCCTGACATCCACACGCTCACCCCCAACTCGGGTTGTGAGCCTGTGGAGGATCCTCAGATGTTACTTTCCTTTGCTTCACTTTAAGATGCTCAACTTCCCTGGGCCACCAAGAAAAACCCTTTTCTATGTGAAAGGCAAATCCCAGTCATGCTCCAAACTGCCCCATGGCTCATGTTAGAGTAGCAGCCAGGGACTAAATTCTATTCTTGGACTTATTCTGAACCTGCTTTATAAACCTGGTCTCTGGATCTTGTTTCTTCCCATAATACATGGGGCTGAGTAAGCCTGCATTCAATCTAGTCAAGTTCTGTTTTAAAAGTATGCTGAAAAGTATCCAATGTTGTAAGACACTGACTTTATTCCTATGAGGCTGGAGAAATGATCAATACTTCACTCAGGGCTAGGGTCCTACTAGGAAAGGGTCTCAAATGGAAGTACTCTCTCTGCCATCTCCCCAAGCCCCACCCATCCTGAAACACCACCGCCCATCTAAAGTTTCTTCCCTGTGCAAACATCATCTTCTCCTTAAACAAATGACTGAATGAGTATGTGTCTGTCTCTGGGAAGCATCGTGTATTATATCACGTCTGGGACAGGAGAAGACAAAATGAGAGCACTCCAAGTACCAATGGAGGCAGATGCTGTTGGGGGACAAAATTAAAGAATATTCTCTAGACCAGCCCTTCACAGGATGAACATGCCCATAGTCCCAGGAAAGGGGAGAAACCGTCCAGCCCATTAAGGGCGCTTGGTGAACAGCGTGGACGCAGCTGTCCAGGCTGAGGGTGGATGTCCTGTAGCAGTCTGGCCACGTCTTATCTGCCAATATTTCATAATATATTTTCCTTTAACAAAAAAGAGGGATGGAGTACTAGGGAAGAGCCAAAGCCCCGAGCAGGCCAGTGCTGAATGCTGTTGTCGGTGATGGCCGCCGTGGCCATTAAAGGCTTCTGCTTTTGTGTGGATGTGTGTCTGTGGTGGTTGTGGGGGGGGGGGGGTCTCTTACACATTTGAGGGATAAAAGACATGCAAAGGCAAAGGAGGCTGGAGTCTGAAATTACCCCCACCAAGAGCCTGAAACCTTTCCCTGCCTTTTCAAATGTTAAAAAACTGGATGCCAATGGATCTAATCTAACACCACTGTGAGGCTTATGGGTGGGGAAGACCGGTTCTTCTGAGCTGAGAACAGGAAGTTTTCACCCAAAATAAAGACAGGGCACGGATGGCAGCCCAGCTACTGGCCTGCATTACCGGCAGAACTAATCCTTTTCTCACACAACTAAAGCTACGGGCTTTAATGACATTAGGGATTTGGAACACCACAGATTAAGTTATAGTAATAGCACAGTATTCCTCATCTCCAGCTCTCTTTATTCTTGCTAAGCATCCAAGCCCCACAACACCCTAGGGACACGGAAAGGGTCATTTCATGTCTAGTGAAACCGAAGCCAATGGAGCTTCATCAACCTGAGCAGTGATCCTGAGAAAAGGGAAGGCAGAAGGAAGACAGCCGAGTCAAGCCCCAGATGGTCCGCCATCCTGCCTTGTGCATCTCCAGAGCCCTTCCCAGTAAGTCGGCGTGCTGTGTGTATGTCACCCCTCTCTTCCTGCTGGCTACCTTGGGGCGGAGAGTAGTCGTCCGAGTCGGTGTCGCTCTCACTGCTGTCCTCCACCAGGAAGGCAGGGTAGTTCCAGGACATGCTGAGGATGCCGTCGGACTCGTGCAGGAGGACGTGGGCCAGCATCCTGCCGTGGCAGTCCATGACGATCACCTGCCCATCAGCCGTGCCAAACAGCACCTGCAAGCAAGGACCAGGACCCTTGACGGACGAGGAGAAGGGGCTGAGGTTTCTGGCAAACCTCGTCACCGCAATTTGTTTAGAAGGACAAAATGTATTTAGGACTAAAAAAACAGAGCAGTTAAGTAGCTGAGGGGATACCAAAGCATTACGTACCAGAAACTTAGCTGGCTATTATTGCAAGAATTTTAGTCCTCCAATACTGAAATGTGACTAATGGCAAAATAAACACATTTGTTATGCTGTATGGATATTTACAAATAATACCAGCAAAATCACTGCCTCACTTTTTGTGGGTTGTTTTTGTTTGCATGTTTGGGTTTTTTGGTTGGAAAACGAGGGTTAAGAAGATGACACTTCTTTTTCTTGGAAAAAAAAAGCAGCAGCAAAGGTTAAGAATTTCTCAAATTTAGAAGGAAAACTTCAGCTGTCTGTTTGACAAAAGAGAAAATATATTTGGTTATATAAGCAGGTTATCTAACCACACTTGGAAAGAAGATGCTCCTGAAATAGTTTGTCTCATGTTCTATTTATCTAAGAATAATATTGGTATTAATGTATTCGTTAATAATTAATGTTATAATGTACTAATAGTATTAACACATTCATTGAGTGCTTACTTCGTGCTAAGCACCGTACTAAGAGCTTTACCTCATGTAGTGTCAAAATAATCCTGGGAGTTAAGTACCAGCACTGTAGATACAGAGCTCAGATGGGCTGACACCTGGGTGTGTGGAGGGCTGCCCCCCCTCACTTCACCTGGCCCTGGAGCACACACTCAGGAACGTGCTGGGGGTGCAGGTAAATACATGGTCAGAGTTAAAGCACAGGCAGGGCAGAGGAAGGGTCAATCCCCCCGCACCCCGCCAGCCAGGGCAGCAGAGGAGCATCTCACGGCTGCTAGAAACCCCGGACAGGAGCTGTGTCTTCTAGCTGGCTCATCCATGGATGACACCAAGGGGAACCTCGGGGCCAATGGAAAGTGGGACCTCTGTGGGGGAATATACCATGTTCTCTTCTGCTTTGTGTGGTGGGCTCTGTAGTTTCTGCATCTGTTGGCATTTAAAACTTTACATCTTTTGTGTTTACTGAGATCTGTGCATCCATCAGCAATGACTGTGAGAAGCATGCAAATTCCATTCTACAGATGCAGAAACAACTTGAGAAGTTAGGGCAGCTGACAAGGCCATTAAGTGGTCAGGCCACCAGGCTATCTTACTGCAAAGACTAGGATTTACACAAAGGGAAAGTTATTTAGGGCTTGTTAGGTCCTTGCCTCTTTTTGCTGTTAAGATTTTGACATTAAGCTCTGGGGGCAAAGACTGTCCACAGCTGTCCCCCTGGTACCTAACAGCTTTGGGTACAGAGGGCACTTAGTAGTATTTATTGTTAAATGAAGTAAAGTCGGTGACCATCGAAAGGCATTTTAGGACATGAATCCTGATGATTAAGATAGATCAACTGCAAGGGAAGATATATTTCATTTAAGTAGTAAAAAGCTCACAGAATTTACAGAGCTGTTTTAGAATTGACTGTCCATCAAATATTCCTTTAAACATGTCTACATATTTAATGACTGAAAACTAAAAAAAAAAAAAAAAAAAAGGCTAAATTGGTTTTCTCTAGGGGCAGTGAGGAATCTATTACTGCACTCAGCTTAAAGAAGAAACACACAAACTACTAGGAACACAATGAAACCTTTTAGAAGACGCTAAATCTTTGGCTGCCGATGGAGAAAGTAAGTACCGGCAGGCATGTCTTCGAAGACTTCATGAGGCACAGACACAGAGGGACGGGGGCACCGGAGTTGGGTCAGGCCTGCTGAAGCCCTGGACAAGGAGGCACTGAATGAGCTTGCCAGGCAGTTTTCAGTGGTGATAAAGATGGAACAGGAGTTCTCATCATTTTAACTGAAATGTACAATTTATATATTTCTTTTTTTAAAAGATTTTATTTATTTATTTGAGAAAGGGGTGGGGGCAGGGAGAAGCAGACTCCCCACTGAGCAGGAGGCCTGACTCGGGACTCGATCCCAGGACCCTGAGATCATGACCTGAGCCAAAGACAGACGCTTCACTGACTGAGCCCCCCTTGGTGCCCCTAATTTATATATTTCAAAAGAAAAAGACATGTGGGAGCCTCACTGTAAGGCCAATGTCATGGGTGATGTCCCCAAGAAGCAGACTGTTTTTGTCCCCCTTTCCACATTCTCCTTCACTGCTCCAGTCTGTTCTGAAGAGAGGCCATGTACCTTGGTGCTGGGTGGGGGGGTTATTTTATCATTTATGACTGCTGTAACAAAGACAGCTCATTAGCAGCCCATGGCCAACAGTTATTCTTCACAAGTACTCACAATTAATCATCTGTATCAATCCCAAACAAGTTCCCAAGCCCCCCGTTACAAGGTCACATCACCCTATCGTCTTCCACTGGTGCAATCATCACTGTTCTCAGACTTTACTGTGCCATTATATGATTTCTGTCTGACTGCTGTGCTAGGCTATAAGCTTTTCAGGACATGGCCTATGTGTGCTCTGCTCACTACTGTCTCCCCAGGGCCTGCCATAGTAGATGACACACGGCAGTAAGTATTTGTGAAGGGAGGGAGGAAATGCCTCTGCATGGAAGAATCTTTTGAGTAATGCTCACATTTTTCCATTTTAGAGAAGAACAGATACCAGACAATAGAACAGACATCAAATTTCTGGATAAAGGATGGCTGATTTAGTGAGGCATCAGTGTTCAACATTACACTAAAGCCAGCCCCCAAATTCTCCACCATGAATCAATCCCAACTACTGCTCTCCTGGGAAGATAATGCATTATTAAGATCAGAGAGAGGGGGAAAAGCAGCACTAACAGTCTAGTTGTCAAGCAATGATGGAAGAAGTTACTTTGTTTGGGGACAGGTACTTCACAGATAACTGAAGAACACCGATACAACACGAAATCAGATTTTAAAAAATCTCCTCTATTTCAAGTTCTTTTCATGCCTAATCTCTTCCAATGAGACAAAGCTTATGTGAGCAAAGGACGTTAAACGAACAAGACAGAAAAGTCTAATAATCATGAATACACAAATAGGCACATGCATCAGTCTCTGCTTCTACTCCCTCATTCTGGAGCTCTAGATAAGCTGGTGCTGGCACCTTCCCAGCTTGGCCCTAGGCTGTCTTCCCTCTCTAGGAGATTACAGTTGTGTCCATGGCCCCAAGGCCCTATTCAGGGCTGAGTCCCTGCTCAGGCCTCTTCCCTACGCTCCAGGCTCCCACATCTGGTATTTCCTACCTGCCACCTACGCCTGAATTGCCAAAGGCCCTTCAGAACCAACATATCCCAGATGAAATACATGACTTCATTCTTTCCCCAATCTACACACACACACACACACACACACAGCCAGGTCCTCTTACAACAAAGCAAAGACTGTGACTTGTGTTTTATCTCCAATGTCTAGTACAATGTCTGATATAGAACAGGGGCTCAGACATCACATGTGAAGGCTTTGGGGACCCACCACACGGAATTAATCTCACTTTAGACATGGCCCCTCAGTACTCTCAACTTTGCTCTGTTTTCGCACACCTGACTTTCCCATTAAACCGTGAGCTTCTCAAGGGCAGGTCTGCACCCCAAATTCTCACATGCTGCCTGTCACAGGCAGATCCTCAGGGACTATTGGTAAATGTATTTGTGCCCAAAGTCTTCCTACAAATGAAGCAAAAACTTCTTTCCTTTCTTTTTTAAATTATAAAACAATGCTCAAATCCTCCCATAAAACTGGCCTCCAAACTACTTTCAATAATGGATGAAGTAAATTTCTGTCTCATATTTTTCCTGCTGTTTTCTCTGTTGGATTGCAGGCTTCATGTAGGGGCCGGGACAATACTCCCTCTGTCATGTCTACACCAAGAACCAAACAGGCTGGTAGAAACCTGCTGGCCCTCAGGCCATACCCATTCAATGGCTGTCCCTCATTGCAGGCAGTGTTTAATATCAGTGTACTCCATTCTAAACTATTTTTAGATGTAATTACTTAAAAATATAACACAATTATTACCAGTAATTTAAAATGAACCAAGCCACGAGCCAAAGGTGGTAAGAACAAGATGTAAAATCATTCAGAAGATTTACTTTTGGAACCGGTGATAATATCTCATCAGTACTTTTATTTTTGGAGACCGGTATTCATCTACATTTTTGAATAAAGACCACATTAGGAAATTTCAACTATAAAAATACATGTTGGGGGAAACATCTTTTTGTTTGCAAAGGACTCGGTACTGGGAGTCAGCTGGCCAGGTATCTGGTTTTATTTTAATTCCTAACTATAAATGCTCACCTCTTTTGTAGTAGAATTTAACTAGCAGCCATTGGAACTAGTTCCAGAAGGAGTTGACCTTTTTGTCCATGTATTTTGCTTTTGTGAATAAGCTAGGGGAGCGGATGACAAAGTGATTACACGCTCCTACTAGTAATCTCAGCCCCACTGGTGGCAAATGTCTAAATGTGCCACAGTGGAGAGAGGAATGAAGGGACAAACCATGATGTCCCTTTGCCCTTTAGAAGGAATCTTCTGTTCAGAGATGCTACTGAAGTAAAACTTTATTTTTGAAAGACCTCCCTGTTGGAGTTTCAGAGCACTAGCTTTCAAATGCTTCAAGGCCAGATTTGAGTATTTTGAAACTAAAGAAATAGAGTCACTGAAACCAGACTGTTGTAAATGACAGAATTCCTCAACTGATTAACATAATATTTCCTAGTTTAAATAAAAAGGATGAAATGTAATTTCACAGTTGACTCTTAACAATCATTTCTTTCTCTCTTTTTTTTTTTTAAAGGGGGAAGAGGGAGAGAGTTGGGGGAGGGAGGGGCAAGTAGGGTCCATGCCCAGTGCAGAGCCGGATGCCGGGCTCGATCTCACAACCCTGATACCACAACCTGAGCTGAAATCAAGAGTTGGATGCTCAACTGACTGAGCCACCCAGGCACCCCAACAA